TTTGGGTAGTAGGCATTTTTATATTTTCCTCTAACTGTGGATCAACAATTAAATCCTGAACAGTGCTGCCACTAAGATATGTGTACAGCAAGCCTAAGTATTTATGGATTTTTTTTTTTCTGTATGTTTAGCAATCAGCTAATGCTCATGAATGTATTGTGTGAATGCAGAGTCTGTGGGTGGAGAGGACAACTCTGACTCTGATCCAGAGTCTTCCAGGCATCTCCCGCTGGTTTGAAGTTGAAAAGAGAGAACTGGTGAGTGTGACCCAGTCTGATGAAATAGCAGTGAAGGCATAAACACAACACACAGCCATTTCACACAAGGGACACAGTGATACTTTCTTTTTTATTATTATTATTATTATTCTGCAGGTTGGAATTTAGAGTAATGACAGCCAATACACAAGTATTGATCCAAGTCATTAGACTGAGCAGCAATCATGACCTAAGTCATAGGTTTGGGGCTATTGGATGCTCAGTTTCCGCAATTGGTTTGATTGGATGTCACGCTAAAAGCCAAACTGCTTTACTTTGATTGCCAACGTGTCCAATTTTTAGAATTGATTTTTGTATTGGGATTTCTTTCCCCTGTAATTGGCAAATTCTTGTCAAATTTGACACGGGACAATTGCTACACTGTTACATGTAAATGCTTTGTCTTCTCAATCAGATTTCTAAGGGTCAGATTTACACGGATTTTGAAATGTTGCTCTGTGCAGTCCAACACAGTGTCTGTCTGTGATGGTCTAAGCGCATATTCTTTACTTCACAGCTGCTGAGCGTGGTGTGAAATATGGATTGTAAAGCCAGTGTTACTCTATGATGGCTGTGGAGTGCAGTAGCATTTAAAATGGAGACTGGCAAAAGCTCAATTAGCAAAAGGATTAAGCTTTGTGTGAGAAGGAAAAAATACAGAAAAAGAAATCAGGATGAAGGAAAAAATATTTCACTGTGCCTTCACGAGTATGTGACTAAGTGTCCATATGTTAATGTATATTTTAAAAAAAAATAGTACTTAGTTTTAAATGAAGCTGCTACAATAATTATTTATAATAATGGTTAATAAATTGATACACGTAGGTGGTTTTTGGTAAATAGCACAAATATAATTAAAGATACTGACCCAACTTTGCAGCTGCCTCACTAAGAGCGCAGTTTTCACTGAAAAAGGCTCTTTAAAGCATTTCCAACAAATTTAGCAACAAGCTGGTATCGAGTGTTTACCTCTAAAAATACTCATTTTGGATGTCAAGTATACCACATAATGTGTAAATAAGTTGCGCTAAAACCTTTACCATATCAACTTAAAAGGTCCTAATGATTTTGGCAATATTGTATTTTAAGCTGCTTTTCAACTTGCTGTATTATAGAAGAAGAAAAAACAGCTCTGTTCTGGGACAGAAGTGGTCAAAACTAAAGTATTACAAGCTGAAATATTCTGATTTGTAGAACCTAATATGTTTTAAACTGCTGCACCTTTCACTATAAAGGACCTCAGTAGCATTTATTATTTAGCAGACCCTCTAAAATTCCCACATTACTCAAATACCTTATAGATATTTTAGCTTCCAGATATTATTTGTAAAGCTCCCTTTAGAGCTTCATATAAAAAGCTACAAAATGTTTCTTCATCCTTCATGTGTACAGGTGGAGGTAAGCCCACTGGAGAATGCGATTGAGGTGATCGAGAACAAGAACTTGCAGTTGCGCACATTGATCACCCAGTGTCAGAGCCGGCAGATGCAGAACATCAACCCTCTCACCATGTGCCTCAACGGGGTCATCGACGCCGCGGTCAACGGGGGACTGGCCCGCTACCAAGAGGTATGAATGGCTTGCTGGAGGATAAGGTTGGAGGATTTTAGAGACCTAAGCAGGAATGAGAGGCAGTGACATATGGATTACCTAATGATGCATGAAGGTGGCTTAAAATGGAGAGATGTATGGACAGAAAGTGTTTTGTGGAGAGGTGGAGCGGATGAACAGATGGATGGATGGATGCATTGATGGCTGGATGATGGCTTGACCAAGTAGATCGATGAGTGGAGAGCTGGAGGGGGCGGAAGTGGGAAAACAAGATGGATGGGTAGTGTAGGAATAGGTCGGTGGGGGAGATTTTTTTGGTCAGATAGAATGATAAGGTGGATGTGGGGGGAAAAGAGACGGGAGGTCAAATAATGTCAGATAGAAGAATGGAAGGAGTTTCAGGGATTAGATGACTAATGTAGTCTTAAAACTTGGAAAGAAGTTGCCATGTTTACAAATTACTGAATTTTAATGCCCTAAAAATAATTTCCACAATGTTCTCTAACAAATTATATATAAATATGCCGCTTGTGTATTTTGAAGCAAGTATGTGTTCCAGAGAGAACAAATGCTAAAATGTGTTTAAGTAAAACTAGATGGGAACATTGTCAATGTAATACCAAACACAGGACCAAATTGGTGGTGTACTTAGCTTAATGTTAGCATTTTTGCCACTATATTCACTATATCTGTGAAAAAAATGAGTAACAACCACAGCTAGTTTAGCTAGCATAGGCTCCGGAACAGCTTATTAGCTAATCCATGGAGATTACAGCACCAATGCTTTATTTGGCAGAGACATAATGCCAGTTCTTTATAGTGCTACAGTCATTAGTAAAGATTATAAGAATCTCAATCAGTGTGGGTGTACAACTCGCAACTTTACCTTAGTACCTAACCCTTTTGGTGACATCCACCAAGTTTAGCTAATTATATAGCAAGCCGAATTCTTAAGGAGGCAGAGCGCCAGATTAATAAAGTGCAAAAATCTTCCTAGTCATATCTTCCAATCACACAAACTTATAGTATTTATATGATGAAGTGGTAACAGATTGGTATGGAAAGTTGAAATATGGGCAATCTCATCGAGAGCTCCATTTACTGCTGCTTTTTTAAATGCTCCTTGAGTGGAGACACTTTAACCATTAGGAGCTCAATTCAAAAGAAAGAAGACTAGAAAAGAAGAAATAAAGGGTTTTTTTTGTTCTCCACAAATTGAGTGGACTCGGCTGCCTTCTCTGTGTCGCATAGCAACCGCTGTGACAATGCATGTGTGTTCATACACTGTATGTGTGTGCTTGTGAGTGAAGCGCATGTCCTCGGTACAAGTACCCTATTAAGGGTTGTAGGACGCCGATAAGAGCCCAAAAATAAGCATTTTAGAAGTGCTTTTTATCTTTGCTGCCACTATTTTGCTGAAAACAAAAAAAATCTGTATAAAATGTTGCAACTTCCAAAATATTTCCTCCCGTTTTACACATTGTTTACAAGGTTAGGTAAATATTGACATGCATAGAGATGTTGTTTCTCTGGGTAAACACTGACCAGCGTCTCCTTTAAATCTTTTGTAATTTATATTTTCACATAAATAACAGAATGTGATCATACCACATGAGCCTGACACAGATTTGACCTTTTTTGTTTTGTTTTTAAAAAAAAATTTTCTGCAGCAGACACATTGGCACCAATATCAGCAGCTCATTTTTCTTGGCAGAATATATCATGCGATGCTCCACAGACTGCATCTATAAATCTATTAATTTACCCGCGTAATGCCGATTGACAGCTGTGGAGGTTTGCTCGGCTCCAAATGAAGGAGAAATTGTCGTTATTAATATTCAGATTTATTGCTGCAGTTTGAGTTGAAACCCTTGAGGGGGAATGCTGTCTGATTTATTCCCCCCTCCCCTCAGCATTCCGTCTCTAATTGGACTTTTCTAATGATTAACTGAGCCACTCCACGGTGAGGTCTCACTCCCTGCAGCCCGACGAGAAATTTCCATCATTTGTAGAAAATGATTGATTATTTTTTGATGCCGTTTTTGGGGGTCTTGTATAGAATTTCCTGGTGAAACTCAGTACTTCTCTCTTTGAGCGTCCCACCTCACCATAGAGTAATAATGTTTATGCAATAAGATTTTTTTTTCTGTTTCACAGTTTATTATATATTATTATATCCACCACATACTAATTTATGCCATCTTGATAAAGATCTGAGGATGCCTGTCTGGAATAATAAGGTTCCTTATTTTATTGAAGTTTCATAGTCTGCAAGCCGCGTGCATCCTTTGATAGACATCTATGTGTGTGTTTGGGAGTGCATATGTCTGAAGCAGCCTTCAGCTTCTCTTCTCTTAAGTGTCTCGTTGGAGATAGACAGCTGTGTCCTTGAGAGAGGAGCTGTGCTGATCCTTTTTAGTGAACTCCTCCTTACCTTTCAGTCTCGGTTTTTTTTTGTGTGTGTGTGTGAGTGTGCGGCAGATTCATAAGCAGATTGTGAGGTGGGTCTTTTCATCGGTTCTCCCTCGCTTTGTGTACTCTGATGCAGATTGAAAGGGATTTAACATAATCTGTAGAGAGACTGCAAGTGTTGATGGCATTGTAAACAGGAAAGATCTTGCATTTAATGTATGAAAGTGACAACCCCCCCCCTCCAAAGAAAAAAGCAAAAAAAACAAAAAAAAAAACAGTATTCATCATTCAAAGCGGACCGGGACATTTTCATCTTATCAGTTTCTCCTTTGAGTCTTTTTTTCTTTTTCTTTTTTTCAGGCAGTGTCTGGGAAAGTGAATAGAAAGCACAGTCTGCAAGCCAAAATCAAGAAGGATGATGTTTCTAAAGAGACATGATCTCTAGCAGAGCACAATGACACGAATGAAAGTGATATAAAAGGGGCTTTTAAAATCGCAGACCAAATTGGCTCTTAAATCAAAGCAAAATCAATGCTTTGATTTCACTAACATCCATTTGGCACTGTATTTTTCGCCTTCTATTTTTAGCCACTATGTACTTTAATTCTGCCCACTGAACCTGATATTAATATTGCAACACAAATTTGCCAGACAGGACTTTTCAACCCTGCATTTTAGTAGGATGTAGATTTTTTTTTTTTTTAACTCAAATTTTTCTCAGTTTTTGTGAACATTTTAAATGGAAAGAACTCAACAAATAGCTGTGTGGACACTAATTCGCTGTGTCAGGCAGGCTGCAATTCAGGTAGCACTGCTGTGGAGAGGAAAAAAAAGCCCGCTGCTTCAGCTCCCAGGGCATACATAACAGATGTTCTGCATTTTTGCCTCTGTGCAGGCCTTTTTCGTGAAGGACTACGTTATGAATCACCCCGAGGACGGAGAGAAGATCGGGCGACTGAGAGAGCTCATGTTCGAACAGGTTGGAAACATCATTTGAGCTCATGATGTCTTTTTAAATGCAAAGACAAGATGAATCATTTTTATCACCTAAATTTGACTTTCAGTTATTGTGCACTTTTTTCTGTTTGTCCTGCAGGCACATATATTGGAGTATGGCCTTGCGGTGCACGAGAAGTTTGTTCCTCAAGATATGAGACCCCTGCACAAGAAGTTAGTGGACCAGTTTCATCTCATGAAGTCCAGTCTAGGCATACAGGTAGGCATCGACTTTAAAGAAAGCTTTTTAAAATGCTGTACATGTGTAACTCAATGATAGATTCAGATTTCATGCTAAACAGAGGTTCATTTACCTAATGGATGTCATTCATGTGTAAGGATGATTAAAGCTGTCTAACATGTGTTCCTTTATTTTCTTCAAATTACTTATCAGAGTCTTTAAGCCTTAATGGAAACAAACAGTGAATGTGACAATAGAAACTGACTGCTGTGCGAAGAATTCTGAGTAAATGATCCCTTTATTCTTCTAAAGGGGAAAACCACCCCTCATTAAACAAACTGCCCTCATCTACATGTTGTGTGTTTTATTTACATACCTCACGCTGGCACAAAGAAGCATTTAATCATGTGCACTTTCTCCCCCTCCCAATTTAAAAAACCCCCAGGAGTTTCCAGCGTATGTGCGCGCGAGCCCGGTGCACTTCACCAACGGAAGCCCGCGGACGTGCAGGAACTCCGTGCCCAGCATCATTAGCCCAGATGGCGGCAGAGGAGTTGCCAGGCGGAGGTGACGGCTCTTTTCTTAATTTCCGTAGCTTTACGCGTATGTCTCTGTCTTTCTCAGCTAATTAAATTAACAAGTGAGGAAAACGTATTGCTTTTCAATGCCAATTACTTCTCTGGTTTATTATGCCAAGTCACCCAAAAAGATCTTTAACTTCCATCTCTGGAGTGCATAAAATTTCTCCTTCGTATTCTCTCACCTTCCTTTACTTATAAGCGTTGCCCTTCAGTGCAGACCTTTGTTCGCATCTTACTTTCTTTTTCTTTTTGTGTCTCCATCTCACCTCGAACGTCACACTCTCTGCCTTTTCTCTCTTCTTCCTTCAGTTCTTTACTGGCACAGCTCAGTACAATAGGTGTGGGTGGCTGGCTGGCACCCACAGGGATGTTTTCTGTGTGGCTGCTGTCGGGCCAGCAGGCAGACACACAGTGTGTGTGTGCGTGCATGCGTGTGTGTTTTGATGTGTTCAGTGACCCTGCCACTTCGTCTACCTGCGACATTCTGCCTCCAGAGTCTGATCCCGCGGGGCACAGCCACACACAAGAAAGATGGAGACGCACACATCACCTCAATCTTCCTGTGACATTTCGTATTTTTGCTTGTTGAGTTCTGATTTCTTTTTTCCTTTTTTTTTCTATTTTCCAGTTTCCAACGAAGAACCAGGTCACATCTCTTTCTTGTGCCTTTTGGCAGCATGATGGAATGCTGTGATTGATGAATCAGTTGCCTTCTAATCTGGTATTTTCTGTTTCTCTGTTTGTCTATTTTTTTTCCTTTTATTGGCCTTACTGCTGCTGAATCTTTGGTGAGTGAACCACTTTTAAATCTAATCATGTATAATAGTATGAAACTTCACCCTTTATATTGTAAACCATCATAACCCTCTCTCTTTCGCCTTTAGCCTCTTCAGCTACCCTGCGGTGAACCGTTACTCCTCGTCCTCTCTGTCATCTCAAGCCTCCAATGAAGTCAGTAACATCACAGGGCAATCGGAGAGCTCGGATGAAGTCTTCAACATGCAGGTAGTCTCCCTTTGTGCCTACGCCTACACGCCCACACAAAGGCACTTAACCTAGTAGATTGAGTCTATATCCCAGCATTTGCCCTCCTCCTCCCTTCAGATTTCACTTGCAATGCTTTTTAATCCACTCTCACTCTATTTCACTGCTATTTCTCCTCTGACCCTTTTTTCTCTCTATCTTCCACTCTTGTTCGTGTGAAACGCAGTCTGTCCGTGCAAATTGTCATGATTATATCAAATAAGGACATAGTGCTTTGTGTGGGCCCGTCCAGGGAGCCCCGCTGGAGTCTAATCTAAACTAGATTTGGCCAATTCAGAAAGCTGCCGACAACTCCTGGCAGGCTGTCTCCCGCACCTGGCAGGCTTGGAATAACAGGAAGAGGGGAAAACATGGGAGGAAAAAAAATGTTGTCAGGGATGTGACTGAAGCTATTACAAAGAGTTAGTTTGTGCTTCTTTTTTTCTTAAGTTTACAGAGCAGGTAGAATTTAGTAAAAGTTGGACGAATCATAATTTAGAAATATATGGTTTTAGTTTTTTAATTGATTGAAAATGGCCATCACTATCTTGTTTCAGTCAGATGTTACTATATTTAGTTAGCAAGGTGTATCCACACACTGCAAAAGAGCATCACACATGTAAATGCAAATTAATGCTATGTAACAAACCAATAAATAATAAAAGAACAGGTTCTTAGAGCACGGTTTTCAAACATAAGGCCCAAGGGCCAGAGCTGACCTGCCAGAGATTCCAATCCAACCGACTGGACATCTTTGAAAAAGGGGAAAAAGGGCATAAACTTTAGACTTCATAAGTTTTACAGCTTTTCCTACTGATAAGCAAACAACTAGCAGTAAAGCAGCCTGTGTCATCACATACTGAGTAAACAAAGTGGCCACATCTTCAGTAATGCATACTTTTAAGCCTTAATAAAATTTAAACAGATGAGTTAGGAAAACTGCCACAGCCTTTTCTGTGCTAGACAGCAACTATACACATTTTTCAAGTGAAGTTGGGCATTTTAACATCGCCATCTATGGGACTGAGTGTCTTTTGAAAGCCACCTCAAGTGGGCAGTTGAGGAAGTGCATTTTAATGATAACTTCTTTATTCCGCTGTTACTTAGTACTGTTTTTTTTTTTGTTGTTGTTGTTTTTTTTTACTTTCTGAGAAAAAGGTAAATGTTACAGACAAAACTTATAATAGATGCTCAGCTTTGCACAAACTAGATTACACAAAGCAGGAACTCCAGCAACACTTGAGGAAGAAGAACAACTTTAATAATAGACCCTGATGAAGGCCACAAGCCGAAACGCGTTGGTCTATTATTAAAGTTGTTCTTCTTCCTCAAGTGTTGCTGGAGTTCCTGCTTTGTGAATTCTTTTATCCTCTCCATGCACCTTGGAAGCAGGTGAAGTTGTGCCAGAATTTTTTTTTTTTGCCACAAACTAGATTAGAAACCAAGCATGTCCAGGACAAGCCAACCAAACTGGGATTTTGTTTTGGTAGATGTATATTGTATTAATTATAAATTTTCATGATATTCTGCAGTTTGATGGTGGCATTGATGTACTCATCATCTTTGTTTTTTCCACCTGCAGCCCAGCCCATCTACCTCGAGCCTCAGCTCCAACCATTCTGCCTCGCCCAACGTCACCAGCTCAGCCCCATCCAGTGCCAGAGGTGAGTCTGGCACTCAGCAACACCTTTTGTACAACACTTATTGTATAAAAACGATACACAATAGGCTTTTAGCTGATATTTCAATCCACACAGAGGAAGCAGACAGAGGTTCAGCTGGACAGTCTGAACCTTTGACCTTTCACTGACACAATGTTCTCTCAATCCACCGCAGCATCCTGTCTGGTGAGGTTCGAGAGGTTAGATGACGGCTAGGGATAAATGCGGAGGAGGTTGACAGGGGGAAGAAAAGAGAACAATGAGGGGGGAGCATTGGATAGTGCGAGACTGAAACATAGAAGGAATACAAAATGAGTCCAGAAAAAAAAAAAGGAAAGAGAGAAAGAAAGAAAGAAAAGAAGAAAAAAAATGAAAAGAGCTGAGAGAAATGCTGTTGAAAGAAACATGGAGCTAGTGAAAATGCAAGAGAGAGTAAGAGATCATTATAGCTGAGTATCCCTCTTGGACTTCAGCACAATCTCCTGTCCAGGCCGATGTCATCCAAGCCTCCTCTGCGGTGCATTTTGAATGTCTAATGCCTTCCCTTGCTCTCATCTCAATGTGTTCTGCTTGATCCCCGTCATAAAAAGTAAGAATATATGAAGATGTTTATGGAAGCGTACACACTCCCCTTTGGCAAGGTGCTGACAGCGGCCGACGCCCTTATAAAAGTGCCCTCTGTCTACCCATAACGCATGTTGAGAATTATTGCTGCTGTGGTGTTATCTGAATAAGAGCCAACGATGGGCATTTCATGCTCATATGATAGCCTTCCAAGTGCTGTAACATTCACTAATGGATCAGCATCCACACAATGGCTCCAGCAGCTGAGGAGAAGTGCTGCGGAAAAAAAACCCAGAAACGTACCAACATGTGTGTGGGGGCGGGCTTTTGTGTTCGTCTCCGTTGGCGTGTTACATATGTTATAGTGTCGAACTCTAGCACATGTCTCTGTTGTGATTGTCCAGTGTAACAGAGGAGGTGAGGAAGTGAGGAGGGTGTGTGTGTGTGTTAGTGTGTGTGTGTGTGTAGGAGTGGCCAAGCCATTTATCATGTTGTGGAAGTAGTGAGGCTGAAAGAACGGTGGAGAGGCTTGGGGGGAGAAAGAGAGATTGGCCTTTCCTGATTGCCAGTGTTTGCGGGTAATAGCCTAACACCTTGCTGTCGTTTGGTCCCTTATGCGTTTGTGTATTTACTTGTGTGTGTGTGCGTCTGTGTGTCTGTGTGTCTGTTACCGCTCTAATGTCTCATACCATCCATTCCAGGATCCCCTCAGATGGCAGAGAAACACAAGCATTCCAGAGAAAATGCCTGTCTGTCTCCACGAGAGAGACCGGTCAGTGCCATCTTCCCCAACCCCCTCGATCCTGCACAGGTCAGCACACACAATTATTTGCACTTATAAAGACGGCATTCAAATATGCCTTTTATAGCTATAGTGCATATGTCATAATACCTCGTGTTCCCTGTTAGAATGCGTTTCAAGTGTTATGTTTTCTGCTTTGTATTGCATGAAGGTGTCTACTTGTCAGTTCAGCCTGTTTGCACAAAATAATAAATGACTAATCCCATCCCTTTTTGCAAAGGGTCTGGCTCTCATAAGCAGTGTATTAGGTTGTTTTAGAGAAAAAGAAATGGTAACACAAGAAGATACATTACATAACTTTGTACATAACTAAGCATTGTTTTGTATTTAGTGCCTTTTGTATCCTTTTCCATACTTCTTTGTATCAACTGATAGGGCGTTACGCTCTGATCACTGGCAGGTGAAGTGAATAACACTGATTATCTCTTCATCATGGCACCTGTTAGGAAAATAGGCAAGTGTAAGGGAGTTTGAGTGAGTTTAACCCTTTAAAGCCGGTCGGAGCGGGTACTCTCCGTTTTGCGTAACTATTTTTAAATCCTTGTAGAACCGGAACCACGTGAGCTAGCGCAATAATTTTTTTTGC